ATAATTAGTCAGGTATTTTTTCGCTCTTCAGTCATAAAAACTCTTTTGCAGGGGCATGTTTTAAAGCTGGTCCCATACATCAAACACGTTTCTGCTAACTCAGAAACAAAAAAATATCATCACCCTCCCCCCGGGGCAGTGAGCATCACCCTGCAGCCCCGAGCCCTCCCGCTCCAGCAGCGCCGGGTTTGGGAGCTTGGGGGGAGCATCACCCTCCCAGGATGATACAAGTTGATTCTGGGGAGACCATCGTCCTCCCAGGATGGTGCGATTTGATTTTGGGGGGACCATCACCCTCCTAGAATGATGCAATTTGATTCTGGGGGGACCATCACCCTCCCAGGACGATGCAATTTGATTTTGGGGAGACCATCACTGGGGCAGTGAGCATCACCCTGCAGCCCCGAGCCCTCCCGCTCCAGCAGCGCCGGCTTTGGGAGCTTGGGGGGAGCATCACCCTCCCAGGATGATACAAGTTAATTTTGGGGAGACCATCGTCCTCCCAGGATGGTGCGATTTGATTTTGGGGGGACCATCACCCTCTCAGGACGATGCAGTTTGATTTTGGTGAGACCACCACCCTCCCAGGATGATGCAATTTGATTTCTTAGGGGGAATCACCCTCCCAGGACAGTGCAATTTGATTCTGGGGAGATTCTGGGGGGACCATCACCCTCCCAGGACGATGCAATTTGATTTTGGGGAGACCATCACTCTCCCAGGATGATGCAATTTGATTTTTTGGGGGGCCCTCACCCTTCCAGGATGATGCAATTTGATTTTAGGGGGACCATCACCCTCCCAGGATGATACAAGTTAATTTTGGGGAGACCATCGTCCTCCCAGGATGGTGCGATTTGATTTTGGGGGGACCATCACCCTCTCAGGACGATGCAGTTTGATTTTGGTGAGACCACCACCCTCCCAGGATGATGCAATTTGATTTCTTAGGGGGAATCACCCTCCCAGGACAGTGCAATTTGATTCTGGGGAGACCATCACCCTCCCAGGATGATGCAATTTGATTTTTTGGGGGGTGCTCCCAGCACCCCTCCACCTGACAAAGACTCACGTGCCCTCTCGATAACCCCGTTCCCCAAACTCATGACTCAGCATCTCCTGAAAATCCAGGAGACGGGTTGCAAAACTCATTACTTGACCCGTTCCTTTCCAAGTGGGAGAAGAAGAAAAGCCACGCCGCCGGCTCGCCTCCAAAAACAACCATCCCCAAACCTGCCTCCCTCAGCTTTGGGATGAATTCAAATTTTTATTTAGGCTTCATAAATAATGAAGAATAAAACAAAGCTGGATAGAAATTATCTGTATTATTATTAGCTGCGTCAGGTTGGGAGAGGTGAAGAGTCAGCAAACGCACGCCCTGAGCCTCGATGGGCGAGATAAAGCAGAGTTTGCAACCCCTTTGCTCATGGATTTGGGGATATTCTCCCCATTTTGGGGGGTGATGCAAAGCCATTGGATAAAATCGACGGAAAATAGCCCCAAAAAAAGAACCCCGGTTGATTTTCTTGCAGTGCTGGGTCACCGGCCCCTCGCTTCTCCCAATTAAAAGAATTAAAGAAAGGAAATTGGAAATGCGGCCCCCGCTGCACCTCGTCTGGAGTAATTAATGCCCAAGGTTTTAATGAGCGGCTGATTAAATACAAAAGCAGAAGGAAAGGGAAATTCTCTGCTCATTAGAAGAAAGCGAAGGCGGCGGCGCGGGGGGCTCGGACCCCCCAAAAATGTGGGGTGACAGAGAGGGTCTTGCTGCGGCCGCGGGGAAGGGGCATGGAGGCCATTTGCCATTAAATCCTGGAATTTGGGGTGGGTTTGGTTTGGTTTTTTCCAGCTGGATTTGGCTGGAGGGGAGGCCAAGAGGCTTTTTGCACCTTATCTGGGCAGTTTGCAAAGTTTCAGGCTTTTCAATCCAGTTTCAAGGCTGCGATGGAGCCTGAAGGTCCCCGTCGGCCAAACCAGCTCCTCTGGCTTCCAGCTTGGATTTTCCTTCCCCATTCCCGGGGGGGGTGCAGGGGGGGGCTGTAAATGCCATGGGACCAGTTCAAAGCCCCGAATGTTTGCCCGAGGGCTGCAAAGGGTAACAACTCCCTCCTGAAGCCACGGCTGCAAAATATCCCCCTGTGGCTCCAGCCCCCAATCCCCCAAATCCTTCAGGCACCTGCAGAAGCGGCTCTTTCCCGGTTTTCAGGCTTTGCTTCCCATGCAGTCCCCCAGAACCCCATGGAATCCCATGAAATCCCATGGAATCATCCCGTGCTGCCATCCCGTGCCATCCCATGCAACCCCACATATTCATCCCATGCAATCCCATACAATTATCCCATGCAATCCCATACAATCCCATGCAATCATCCAACGCAATCCCATGGAACACCACTCCATCATCCCACACAATCCCATGCAATTCCCATGCAACCTCTACAATCCCATGCAATCACCCCATGCAATCCCATGCAATTATTCCCCTTGCAATCCCATGCAATTATCCCATGCAATCATCCCATGCAATCATCCCATGTAATTCCAATGCAATACCCATGCAATCCCACACAATCATCCAATGCCATCCCATGCAATCCCATACCATTCCCATGCAATTATCCCATGCAATTGTCCCATGCAATCCCAGGCAATCCCATGAAATACCAGGCCATCATCCCATGCAATTCCCATGCCATCCATGCAGTCCCATGCAATCATCCCATGCCATTCCCATGCAATTTTCCTTTGTCAATCATCCAATGCCATCCCATGCAATCCCATACCATTCCCATGCAATTATCCCATGCAATTGTCCCATGCAATCCCAGGCAATCCCATGAAATACCAGGCCATCATCCCATGCAATTCCCATGCCATCCATGCAGTCCCATGCAATCATCCCATGCCATTCCCATGCAATTTTCCTTTGTAATCCCAACACACTCTAATGCAATCCCACGCAATCGTCACACGCAATCCCACGGAATCCCATGGAAGCCCAGGCAATCCCATGAAATACCAGGCCATCATCCCATGCAATTCCCATGCAATCTGCAATACCAGGCCATCATCCCATGCAATTCCCATGCAATCTGCAATACCAGGCCATCATCCCATGCAATTCCCATGCCATCCATGCAGTCCCATGCAATCATCCCATGCCATTCCCATGCAATTTTCCTTTGTAATCCCAACACACTCTAATGCAATCCCACGCAATCGTCACACGCAATCCCACGGAATCCCATGGAAACCCAGGCAATCCCATGAAATGCCAGGCAGTCACCCCATGCAATTCCCATGCCATCCATGGGAGCAGGGAGCGATAGGAAAATGCTGGAAAAGCAAGTGGTGCCCGGCACGTCCCGGCATGCCGGAGAACCGGCCCGGCTGCAATCCCTCCGGGGGGGCTGGGGGGATGCTCCGGGCATCCCAAAAAAGCCGGGTGTCCAAAAATACGCAATTCCCATGCCATCCATGCAGTCCCATGCAATCATCCCATGCCATTCCCATGCAATTTTCCTTTGTAATCCCAACACACTCTAATGCAATCCCACGCAATCGTCACACGCAATCCCACGGAATCCCATGGAAGCCCAGGCAATCCCATGAAATGCCAGGCAGTCACCCCATGCAATTCCCATGCAATCTGTGGAATCCCATGCAATTCCCATGCAATCTGCAATACCAGGCCATCATCCCATGCAATTCCCATGCCATCCATGCAGTCCCATGCAATCATCCCATACCATTCCCATGCAATTCTCCCATGCAATCCCAACACACTCTAATGCAATCCCACGCAATCGTCACACGCAATCCCACGGAATCCCATGGAAACCCAGGCAATCCCATGAAATGCCAGGCAGTCACCCCATGCAATTCCCATGCCATCCATGGAATCCCATGCAATTCCCATGCAATCTGTGCAATGCCAGGCCATCGTCCCATGCAATCCCATGCAGTTCCCATACAATCCCATGCAATCCCATGCAGTTCCCCTGCAATCCCAAAAGCCAGCCCC